GGGGGGGATGGTTCCGATAAGGCTGACGAGCCGGAGGGGGAGGGGCGGGGGCGGGGGGCGTTGTCAGGTGCCAAGCCCCTAACAACGCCTCCCGCCTGCGTTCGCCCCTGCCAACGGTATAGTACATGTCCACTTGGTCAAGACCATCCACTTAGGCCCACACAATTAAGGATTCAGAAACATCAAAAGTACTGAAGAAGGTTTTCCAAGTCCGGGATAGATCATCACATTGGGTACTGCCGTCTGATCTCAGCGAGGATGTCCCAGAACAGAGTCTCGCTGTTAAGATAAATCAGAGGATGGATCCCCTACGCGACCGTCGCGTCCTCCCCCTCGACGCACGGAACGAGACTGACGCGGTGGGGGGGGGGGGTTGGCGGGGGGGCACGAAGCGCTCCGAGCGGTTCGTAGTGGCATCGCTGAGGGGAGAGGAAAACGTCGAAACGAGGACAGAGGATTGCATCGGTGGAAGCATATCGCGGGGGACAATCGTGAATCGTGTGAAGGGAGGACTTCGTATTTGGGAACCGATACGATCACGCGAAATGAAAGCTATCTTTGCGGTGTCTCGAAGCTTCCACTTTCCATCGATCGAATCCCATCACTCGCCACAATGGCAGTCGAGTCATTGTATCCTCGATGCGACGCTTCGAGCACGGCTGGAGAGGTGGGGCCACTGGGGACCGGAGGGGGACTGGAGGGGGATGTGGGAAGGGATGCCGGCGAGGGGACGCTTCTGCCATCTAGCGTTCTTTTCGTGAAGCACGGTGGGAGTCTTCCTGGAAAGTTTTTAGTTTGTTCATGGATGTTCACTTTTAAATGAGATTCAAGTTGGTTGGACTTGAGCATCCTGAATACCTCGCGACCCTGTTCTTTTTCCTCTTTTGAGGTCCGGTGGACCCGTCTTCGTAACCCACTCGTAAACTTTTTCGCGGGGATTTCGGGGATTCCGGCGAGTCTGGAAACCCGCGGGGTCTGAAGAAGGATCCGGGGAGTTAAACGAGCTGGATGAATAAATTGAGGCGAATTAGCGCGATCGCTTCGTAGAGATTAGTTTTTTTTTCTTCTTAGATTAAAGATGATAGTCTGAAGAGAATGACCTCGAATCGAATTCTGTTCAACAATTTTTTGTTGCTCAAAGGTGAAGGGAAGGGATTCGGCGAGGCGAATTACCATTTACTCGCTTCAAACTGCCAGCCATCGATACATTTCATGATGGGGTTTGCCTTTTTTTCGACGTGCGGGTGTGGATAAATACGAAAAGTAGCAATGTGAAAACCGATTTTCGATGGCCTTCTCTTTCTTCAATCCCCCCTTCTCTACGGGACTCTAGGCCTAGGTAATAACCAACTGACTGCTTTCAGGTCACCCCAAAAGCCTACCATTTTTCTTTCAAAAGAAACTGAATTCTCAACTTACGGGACCAATTAGGCCTATAAAGGTGAATCCGTGGGCTTCGAGACATCTCGTAGAGGACGTGTAACGTTCGGCCAATCGCAGGCCTATTCTTCCACGACCCATTTCAGTACGGACGTAGAACGTTAGGCCTATCTGGAGTTTCTCGAAACCATCTCGGACAGGTCTGAGGACGGAATGCCTCCGGGATGCATAACCAAGGGATAACCAAGGTGCGCGCCATCGTGTTGATTCAGGGATGTCCGGATGAGATATTTCCTTATCCCGCCACATCGATCAATCAATGCTAACCACTGCATCATTCTCAGCTCAACTCATGAGCTCAGCACAAAAATATCTCATACGTTAAAAAACAATATCCAGACGCCGATACGAAGGTCGAAACAGTCTTGAATCTGGCATGATTTCGGCAAGGTATCCGGCAACACTGGGAGACGGTACCGGAGCAGGCACTCAAAGCCTAATTCAACGACGGCTAATTTCATTTTTCTTTCAAGGCGAAACGGTGCATCGCAAACAACAAAAAGGCCAATTTTCGTCATTACGAATCAGAATCTTTCCTATGGTTGGTCTCTTTCCTCCAGAAGTGGCTATCCAGAAGGGGGGGGGGGGACGGAATGAAATTCCGTCCGCCCCCCCCCCCCCCCATTCCAAAAACGAGATTCAATGTCTTCTACAATCCTGGAGAGATGGAGCTTCAAATTTGCTAGAATTATTGTGTTGAGAGAGGAAGAAGCATGCCAAATTTCGTTCCTGTTGATGCTCTCTGGAATACGAGGGGGTTGAAGAAAGGTAATAGACGCTGCCAAAGCCTATCGAAATGTAAGAATGATGACTGCCGAAAGTGGAAATTCTCAGGAGTCACAGTGGATGGCAACTGTAAAAATGGCACTCGGTGTGCCCGAGGATAGTGGAAACGAATAACTTGGATTCTGTTCCATCTGATTTTTTTTTTCCCCCGAAGATCCTACGAGCCACTCGCTAGGAATTTAATTAATCTGAACCTCATCGGTCACCAAGCGGCCACGACCGACATCCAAAGGAGTCGAGAAGGAATGCTCTCGCACCCGGCAGGCTGACGAAAAGGATGGAGCGAGCGATTCCTCCGGTGGGATGACGTCACTCGGTTTTCTTCGCGAAGAGTCTCTGGAAGTTCTGAGAAAGCCGTGATCGGAGCGGGACGTTCTTCGGTCCGGCAGTGAAGAATGGAGATGGGAAGAGCCAGAGCATGTGGAAGCCCGTCCGTTCCGTCTTTTTCGGTCTCGTATCGGTGATTCCTCTTCGCACTTCTGTTCCCTGGGATCGGCGTGGAGTGGAATTCGAAGCGTTCGTGCCGGGTGGGGAGGAAAAATATGGAAAAAAAACCGTCTGGACTGGAAATCTGGAACTCTCGGCCGATAGGACGAATGCGTGTCGGGAAAATTGAAAAGGGATTGCGTGTCGGCTTTTCTGCCGCCTGAGTGTGATTCATTATTTCCCAGGGTCGATCTTGCCTTTCGAACAGAATTAAGCCACGATATGAATTCTGCTATCAATAATGCAAACTTCATGCGATGGAAGTTTCGATGCAATTCAGAATCGAGGCAGTTGCCGAGCCGGAGGAATCTCGCACAACTCTACCCGCAGGCTCTCCCGAAATCGAAACTCCTTCTGCAGATCTTGGCATTCCGGGGGACGACCGGGTCGCCAGGGATGCCGAATCCATTCTTTGATCCCTTGGGGCAGTGGCGCGAACAGCCTCTCGATGGGACTTTCGACGGAAGTGCACCGCAGTCAGATCACTTTTTTTTTCGCAGGTTGTCATATACTGAACTTTCGTTCGGTAAGCCTTCGGCCCATCACTCCGGTTTCAATGAGCGTTTGATTACTAAATATTTTTAAAGCATCTGGTTTGCTTGATTTTTGATTCAGTGATACTGCCAAAGATTTAAGTCTAGTAATGAGAATTACTGCCACATATACAGAAACCTTCATCATTGGTCACCATCTGCGCCATCAATAGCCGAAAAAACAAATAAGACTATTTAAAATCAGACATCACCAAAAAAGGACCCGATTGAGCTGGTAAAAAATCTTGGCTCTTGGCCATCAACCAGGGTGAGATAATCCGCATTTTTCCACTATGGATGCTTTCGGAATTAAATTTTGTGAAATGATACCAAAGAATCAGGATGTACTAGTGATTCCTTATGCAAATAGCAAATTGATCAAATGCATTTCCTAAATAATTTATGGAGTCGATCAGTTCCAACTTTACAATGCACAGTTGAGTAGATTCAGGAATCAACCCTAGTAAGCACTTTTTAAGTAGAAAAGGTGTCCCCCACGACAATATAGCAATATAATTCAAGAAAGCTATCAACTTGCTCCACTAACCAAAACCTTTCAGCAGCTATAATGAAGTCTTTATAAAATGCATGAGGTAACATTAAAATTAGTGAAAACCATTTCAGCTTGCAGGATTTTGGCACTTTTGGAGAAAGAAAAGAATGCTCAAAGAGGGGAATGGACTACCACAATTGTTGGAAATTGAACATTAATTTTATAATAAATAAAAAACACCTAGACTAGAAAGCTGAAGTCCCATTGCTACTTATATTGAAACAGGGAGACTGAAAGAAAAGAAGCTGGTATCACATACTGAGTATGGAGGATTCCCTTCAAGGAAGTCAAAGTCTTTAACACACACACTCAATTTATAATAAGCACATCAAAGGAGAAACCCCCACAAGAGTCCCTATGGAATATGGGGGGTGTATTTTACTGAGACTGGTACTTTTGTAAAGCCGAGAAGGCAATTTGCCTTTCTTGAACAAATAATAAAAAATTCCATGAATATCTATGTCATTGCCTAACAGAAAGTAAGGTTAGAGGAATAACCGACAACAATCACCAAAGGGAGATGTGGGAAGAAAGAAAAACAAGATAGCTCTGGAATAGCTCTCTTTATTCCTTTTGGCCAACAGCAGAATGAAGGCCAATGTCCCTGTTGGGACTATTTGTCTAGCTCCAGGTCTCCTGGTTGCCACCCCAGCTGCTGGAACCTCCCCAGTCTTCACTCTCCTAAAACAAAGAAAACCATTCCCATGAATCAGAATCGTTTCATGCATGCATTCAAGGGGGAATGCTCACACACATAAAATTGTCCACAATGCTAGGCTTCTGGACTGAGAGATATTCATTACTAGATGTGTTGCAATATATGTTTTATGAAACATCCTTCCTCCAAATGTCCAATATCAAGAGAGCAGACAATAATAAAAATAAATATGAAACATTTTAACACAATTTTGCAATTGACTTCTGAGTCTGGGTCAGGGGAGCAGGAATGAAGCTGCAAGATTTCATGAACGAACAGGTGACAGAGAACTCCCATGTTAATAACTCACCTGCATATTGTATAACGAATAAATTAACTTTTGAAATGATTCAAACTTCCATAAGTACTTACACTTACACATTCTAAATTGCTTGAATTAACAAAAACAGTCAAAAAGATAGGACAGACGTACCACTTGGTCGGCCCAGGTGCCAGACGAAGGCGCAGCAGCACCAGGAGCAGCAGCAGGAACAGAAGCAGCAGCTACAGGAGCCACAGGAACTGATGCAGCAGCAGCTCCATATGCACCTGTAAATCCTGGAGCAATGGGAGGAACAGTGGCGGCAGGAGTACCTTCTCCCCAGTCATCCACTGGAGCTGCAACAGCAGCAGCTGGTTCCCCTCCACCCCACTGCTCTCCCCCCCCTCCTACTCCTCCTCCTCCTCCACTAGGCTGTGTATACTCTGTCAGTTCTTTGACAGCAGCTTCTCCCCGAGCCTGTTCCTCCTTCTCAACCTGTTGATGAAAGAGTTCTAAATTGAAAAACAAAGACTCCTATCAAAATAAACATGATTCAATGTCTATCTCCAACTCTGACCTCATCTGGGTCACGGTAGAAGAAGAGATCCACCATCACATCCCATTTCACATCTCGAGAAATGTTTCCACGGAGACGGAGAACCTCTCTAGCAAGCAACCACCACATGAGGCCAATGCTGAGCTTCTCCTTGTTGTTACACGGGATGGCAATGTCGACGAAGCGCAGTGGGCTATCTGTGTTGCAGAAGGCAATAACTGGGATGTTGACATAAGATGCTTCCGTGATTGGCTGGTTGTCAGTGCGGGGATCTGTTGCAATCAGAAGGCGTGGTTCTCGAAAAGCAGCCTGGGGATGAGGCAAAAAAAAAATTATCTTGCAGAAAGGAAAGCCACATTAGAATATTCAGTATTCCACAGCAGCAACACATCAATAAGCTTCTGCTTTCAACTAAAATTTATATTATTGCCAATTGCAATAATGCTCAGTGTACATTTAGTGATGCTGAAAATAACAGCTGGGAGAATGAGGGGTTAAATGAGCCAGGTAACAGCCAAGAAAGGTTTACATCCTTTCTGATGTTAACTTGGGGGAACTCCTCAATCTTATTTGAGCACAATTGTCCACCACAACCAGTCATCTCTTACAAATTCAAGTTCAGTGATATAAGTAAAAGACCATTTTGCAAGCAATAAATGTAAAACGTTATCAGTGGAACAAACACAAGGATATGGATTTCTGATTTAAACATGGGGACACTTCAGGCATTTGATTCCTGCTCATTTTACACCTGCTGGACATCATTCAACTCTTATGAGTTTCACTAACTCAGACTCTTTGTAGGGTTGTATCTCAACAACATCATATGCCCTGCACTAAAACAAAAACCACCTTTCCCAATGTCCCCATAATAAGATGAAATGCTTTTGGATCAGACAGAAACTTGCACAAGCCAATCTAATTGTAAAAGATTCCTTTACTATTCTCAAGTGCAACAGAAACTCTTTCTGCATCACAATGCAAGTGGGACAATATCATACCTGAATCTGATTGGTGAATGCACCAGGGGTAAAACGTCCAGCAATAGCATTGGCCCCAGTGTAGAGAGCATACTTAAGGACAGCCCTCTGCCCATGTGGTCTAGCAGACATGACACACACATCAGATGGATTCTCAATTGCTGCTATGGCACGTGCAGCCAACACCAGCTTCTCCCATGTTCTTCTCAGATTGATGATGTGGATCCCTGCCAAGTTACCAGTTTTCTTCATTCAATGGGAATTCAAGAAACCATACTTCTACTAAGGAGCCTAGGCTCTCTCTGCCAATAAATGATATAGTAGACCAAGGCCAGGCAAGCATTAAACACTTACATGCAAACATAAACCTAAAGATCTAAGAAAATAAACTTTTTTTTTAGTCACCAATAGTAGGCAACCATTTTCAAAAATCTAAAGTTTTGACATCAAACCTTTGCACTCCACTGTACAGACACCATTCACTTCCTTATTTTAGTCCATTGCCTGATCTGGATCAGCAAGAAACAGTACAAACATGTTCTGCACATCAAATACTCCACAAGTAACTTACACAGCTGCTTTTCAATAAATTTTTTTTTTTTTTTTTTACAGATGATCAATTTGAGTCAATAGAGCAAATGAATCAGGAAGAAGTGCAAAGGATAAATCTAAACTTTCAGTATAACTCTTCATGAACACAACTTACTTATGGGCCTAAGTTAGGATTAGCCAGCAAGCCATTCAGAAGCTTCCTAGCAGCTGATGATAGAGGCCTATACCTGTCAAAGTTAGGCTTACCTGTAACCAGAAAGTAAGAGTAGAAATGATGTTAGGCCTACTCATGTCAAGGTGTTTTACCTGTAGCATTAAAGACAAGAGAAGTTTTGAGCAATTTGTGGGATAAATGACACTATACTCTCATCAAAGAGTACCTTTTCCTTGTTGGTAAATGTTGTGCTTCAATAAAATTTTCCAACATTTTTAGTCTTATTTTGAAGATTTAGGATGCTTCAAGAAGAATGACAAATTTTTTAGGCAATTATGGGTTAAGGTAGATTATCACTGGTGAACTCCAAAAAGAGAAGAATAAGACAAAATACGAAAGCAACCGCTTCCCACATCACATATTCACCACTCGTGTTAGTCATTCAAGTCACCAATATTCCTCAACACCAAGTTACAACTGATGGTCCTGTAACCTCTAAGCTAATTTCCTGCACCAGTGATATAAGACACTAGTAGAGGTTCTATAGTCTTGAACTACACTGCCTACTCATCATATTTTCAGATAAAAAAAGCTCAGACTGACATTTCCCAACAAATTGGCATTTTCCTGAAACTCCGCAGGTTCCCAATATTCTAGTCTGCTATCTAATTTTTATATTATATCTTTTAGTGACTTCATGTTAATAATCATACCAGCAAGAGTAATATGTAACCTTCCTTCTAAGCCAAAAGAAAGCTTAAAAACTAAAAAAAAAAAAAACCCACATAACCAGTGGTCATTAACCTTAGCCCTATCTTGCATGGGTCTTTCTTCCTTCTTGGTAATTTCTAATGGATCTGCTTGAAAGTTCAACGTTCATGGCACAGGAATGGTCTAGGCACCTATTTATTTCAACTTCTAAAAGCAAGGCCACTGAAGTCCTTTCTCAAGAAGGGCAGTTGATATAGCTTAATGGGTAAAACAAACCCTACCTATATAAAAATAAAGGAAAATACTTGTGTATTTGTGTGACATGACATTTACAAGTAGTCCTACAGCCCACAACCTACCCGTGTAAATAGAAACATTTCATTCAATAAACACAATATAAAGTAGTGGTAGATATGTGATTCTATGTTTTTTACATTTTGACCCATAGAGAATTCTGAACTTGACAATGCACACCAGAATGAGAGTGAAACCCCTAGGCTAGAACTATTTTAAGACCCAGAAGACCACACAACCAATAAATGTATTTATTACAAACAATATATGTTAAAATGCAATATGCCATGAAACTCCTTCAGAAAGTAATTTATGACTAGACACATTCATTTCCTTAATTTGATACATCTTTTTCTTTGGATGCAAAGAGTTAACTTTAGAAACCTATTTCATCATGCATTCTGACTTGCAGATTGATTTGTACCACTTTAGAGAGCATAATACCTAACGTTGATGTAACATTCAATAAGGACATTTATATCCCTTGACTAGGGTTGCCACCTTTGAATTTAACAAAATATGGACACATTAAGACAAAGTCAAAGTGGCCTATCTGCAAAAAATTATTTCCTGAAGCTCCACACGGAATGAGTGAATATTCCAGTGGCCACCATGTTAAAAGTGAGAAAAAGTGGTATGTATCAATAGATCACTTCATCTTTTACTTCATTCCAAAAAAAAACTAATTTTCTATGAAAGGAACAAGGCCCTATGAGCACAAAACCCACAGCACTTTTTTCAGAAAATTTTTGCAGACAGACCACTTTGCCTTGCAGCCCTTCATATATTTAAAATATACCCACAGCCACCTTAAGCCAAGGAACCAATCGATACTCTGAGTAGGACCTACTGCTTTTGACTTATGGAGATAGCTGTTATTAAGCTTTATTGTGTAAAAAATTATTGAGTTTAAAATATGGACAAAACAGTGTCCATATTAGAACCAGTTTGAAGTATGGACATAGTATCTGAAATATGTACTGTCCATACTAATTATGAACGGGTGGTAACCCAACCCTTGACTGAAATAACATTAGGCCTATGAAGTCCATCTTCAAGCCACACCCAACTATTTGCAATTCATTATCTGTCTCAGTCCAGATGCTCACCGTTTGTATTTCGCTTGTAAACATACTGCTCCATTTGGAAATCACAATTCTGTGATCCCAAATGAGTGCCACAGGCAAGAAACTTCTTGACGTCATCTTCTTTCAATGCAAGTGCCTCAAGACCTCCCGACATGGTGACGTTGTTCTAAGAGCGACGTTGACAACCTAAGAAAAAAGATGCATGTTATTAGGTTGCTACTCAAGAATCACAGCGTCAGCGTTTGTGCTTTGGCTTATCATTTACAAGGCCGATCCTACTGCAGATCCGGTAGTAACGACTAGGCCAAGCCTACTTCATGTTGGTTAGCAGCAGTCTCCACAACTTATACTTATGAATATATGTCCAATGAAATTAGCTCCCTCAATCTCCAAAAAGTATACGAATCGATGTGGTAAATGAAGAAGAAGAAAATGCAATACTTACGAGACCTTATGCCACAAGGGAGCACATTCGGCCAAGCATGGCGGAAGAAAGAACGACAGGATATATGCAGGGTTGCACGATAGCATATCGGCTCGTGAAACGTTAGATTTCTTTTTCTTCCTGGTTCTCCAGTGTTTTTCAATTGAATTCGGCATCATTCAATCGATTCCAATATTGTTTCGTGTTATTGAACGAAATTCAGATGGGCTCCACCTTGAATGTAAAAAATCCTATGCAGCGATTTTGGATTGAATGCAACCCTTATCCCCTTCTGAATGGCTCAACGAGTACAGTAACGGCAATTGCCTTCTCGGAATTTAACAGACCCAGGTCATACCTGTGCCTGCAGCGGGATTGGCATGGGAAGGCGTGCCCGAAAAAGAAAGCCCTGATCGCAGCGACATCGAAAATCATTGTGAAAACGACACCAGTGATGCACAGTGACTCTCAGTCGAGGGAAAAGGGAGAAAAAAAAAAGGCTTCTCTCAATGTCTTCCTTCGATAAACTTTCCGATATATCGCCATCCCAGACTCGTCAACTAGCTAGCCTCAACAAAAAATTATTTTTCAGTGAAACGAAAACCTGTCGAACTCAAATGTGGATTCGGACATGGAATGACAATGCCTAGGGTTATTACATTTTTATCGAGTCTGGAATCCGAACATCGATTTCGTGGAGAGAATTTGCGATCAACGAAAAACGGATTCAAGACGGAAACGTTGAATACGGCTTTCTGAGAGAAAGACGAAATCAGCGGTGGACAATCAAAGAATTAGAAATACGATTACCGGACAAAAAAATAATCAGCTTAGCCCGTTCTTTATTAATTTAAGGAAAAGCGCTCGGAAATTTTGACTGCGTCTTATTTCATTATGATCGAATTCGCTGCATGGAAAGTTTTCTTTCGTGTCTGTCGGAAACTGTCAGCGAGATAAATGCCCAGTTTTTTTTTCTGTGGAATTGAGGAAAAAAAAGAGGAAATGTTCCAACTCTTAACAACAGGGTGGTTGGAAAGTAACTCCCAATTTTTGAATTGCATCAAAATTTGTATTTTTTGAACTGGAACAATGACTTAGGTGCCAAAAGGAAGAGAATTCAATAAGGTTTTACGATTTCATTGATTTGTTTGTTAGCATTGATCCTCCATAGTCCAAAAATTAAATGTTCGACACCATGCGCTAATCGCTACACGATATGAGGCGAAGGAGGTGAGGGAGGTGAAGGAGGTGAGGGAGGCGAAGGAGGCGAAGGAGGTGAGGGAGGCGAAGGAGGTGAGGGAGGCGAAGGAGGTGCATCCAAAGCATTCTCCTTCCACCGCCACCATTGGACCATGACGGAGGAACCTCCACACACGATACCGTGCAGCAATTTGCGCGTGGTGTCGAAGATTCCTTCTTGTGCACCATGGGAGGTCGATGCGAACGAACAAATCCAAGAAATCATTGAATTCTCTTTATTTTGGAACGACAAAAAAAAACATCGTTCCACTCCAAAAGGTACAATATATATTACAATGTTAAAATAGGGAGTTACTTTCCACCACCCTCCGTTATGGCCCAGTGGTGACGGTGGAAGGAGAATGGTGTCGAAGATTTAATTTTGCCACCATGGAGGGTCGATGCAAGCAAAAAAAAAAAACATTGGAATTATAAAAAACCTCATCCGGTTCTTTTCTTTTGGCACAAAAACCATTGTTCAAGCCCCAAAAGTGCAATAGTTACCGCAATTTTAAAACAAGGAGTTTCCGACCACCCTGTATACTTACGGATTCGGGGAACGAGACTCTCCCGAGCAGGATGGGGCCGACAGGGCGATTTTTTTCCACGGGGAAACCGACCCGTGAAACAGGCCGGGAGGACAGTCGTCCGTTCCCGTCCTTTCTCGATCGATCGGCCCGACGTTTCCACGCCTGTCTTCAACAGAAGACCGACGCCTCGGAGCATGTCCGCCCCGGCATGGAATCGGCCGAGGACGGAAGGCGCGATTCCGCTCGATTCGTCGCCGCTTCGAGGTCCTTCCGCTCCTCCAACTGGGAGAGGAATGTCCCTTCGCTTTCGACCGCCGGGTGCCTGCCGTGGCATCCACATTAGCGACATCTAGGCCTCGGCTTGGGAACTACGAGGTATTACTAAGACGGCACAACAGTCATCTATTTCACGATGGCGCATGATTTAGTTCTCTCTGCATGTAGAAAAATAGAGAGAAAAAAGTATCCAGTTCGAAGGAAGGGGGAATGACTTCGGATCGAATCCGAGACGATTCTATCGAGTCGGGCCGACGATCCCCTATAAGTAGATTCGTCTGCAGGCGAATTCGTCGGCTCACTCAATCGGTCAAAGAAAAATTGAATTCCTTTCGATTCTCTCTCGGACTGTCGAGCTTGCTTTTTCCTCATGATATTGCTGTCTCCACGCTCCGCCCGGGTTTCTTTCAGCTGCATTCATTGCAGTCGGCGGAAAGGCATAAATTATTCTTTTTGTTTAGGGTTGTCGATTCGATTATCTTCATGAACGGCACAATGAATCGACACAAGTTTTTACCGCGATTTACAGAAATTACTTAAAATACAGGGTGATTCAAAAGTCACCTACATTTTTTTCTTTTTGGTGCCGTATATGGTATCAATCGATTTATCTGCTCCTCCTGAGCAGTTTGGTATATTAGTGTGGGACGAAATATACGTCGGAAGGAACGACCAAAAAAGAGTCATAATTAGCGTGACATTTCTTGACTCTTGGGTCATTCCACACCAAATCCACCAGAGGATGAGCTCTTCGATTTTGAAAAAAAAATATCCGTATGCATGTCGAGGAATTGATTATAAGAAAATTAAATTCCAGAGATTTAAATTCCAGATGGTTACACTAGGAACCGAGGGAATGTGCGCTGTTGCGTTCAATGTTCAATGTTCAATGTTCAATGTTCAACAATGCTCACAACAATGTTCACAACCGTTTGGTCGAGTGGAAGTTCTCGTTTCAGCTTCGGAGAATAATGCTCTTCGAACGATCTAAAGACGGCAGTTTCGCAATTGAAATGACACCATGACGAAGCCTTTACCTCGAATAGAAGAGAAGCAAAAATAGTCTCACTATAGCAAAAATAGTCTCACAATTCCAGTCCGTAAAGGCGCCAGGAGCCAAAAAGAGGTGAGACTCGAATATCTCGAGATCGGAGCGAGATGAAAAAAAAAATCTCTGGAATTTAATTTTCTTATAATCAATTCCTCTACATGCATACGGATTTTTTTTTTTCAAAACCGAAGAGCTCATCCTCTGGTGGATTTGGCGTGGAGTGATCCAAGAGTCAAGAAATGTTACGCTAATTATGACTCTTTTTTGGTCGTTCCTTCCGAAGTATACTTCGGAAGGAACGAAATATATATATATATATATATATATCCTCCCACACTAATATACCAAACTGCTCAGGAGGAGCAGACAAATCGATTGATACCACATACGGCATTTAAAAAAATGTAGGTGACTTTTGAATCACCCTGTAGATAGAATTCGAACAGATCCTCAAATCTTCCATAGAAATTTTGAATTTCTCTTCAAACTTGATTACACAGACCATAGAGCCTCGAAAAAGCGCCAAACCGACACGCTTCGGGATCCGACGAAACGACGACCGGCAGTCGCTCTCGCACCGCTCGATCCTCAGAAGAAAATCGCCCGAGATTCTCGCATATCAAGTACGAGACGCTCGTACCCGAAGCGAGGGCAACCCACGGCGCAATGACCTCGGGCGAACCGAGCCGAGCCGTCTCCGTCTCGTCGGCAGCCGATCGCGGAGGGATGAACGGGGACGACGACGGGAGGAGGCGAATGCAGACGGGAATCTGAGGAATGCGCACATCTGTGTCGTCTGTGTCGTCTGTGACGTCTGTGACGTCTGTGTCGTCTGTGACGTCTGTGTCGTCTGTGACGTCTGTGTCGTCTGTGACGTCTGTGTCGTCTGTGCTCCATTGCAGCCTCGATCGAAATGGGTCGATCCCAGGAGGATTTGCACTCGCAAGGCGGATCGGTTCGCGATCTGCAGCCGGATCTGATCGCTTTAACCCTGAACAAGACGAGAACAAAAGAAAGATTTATTTTCCTCCGCGTGCAGGATACTTTTTCCTCGGATTCTTTCCCGACGAAGGCCGTCGGGAAAGAAACAGGCCATTTTACCCGCCGGCCTTCTCCGTCGGCCTGTCGGAAGCACGAGGGCGAGGACGACGCGGACGGATCGTCCGGGACCGATTTCGTGTTTCTCATTTTTTAATTTTATTTTTATTTTTATTTTTATTTTTATTTTTTTTTCGCTAATTTTTCTCATGTTTCCAACTCCAGCCAACGCTCCAGTTCAAATCGCGCATAATAATTTTAAAAAAGAAACTCACGTCGCGAATTCCCAGAGTGAGTTTTCGTTTAAATTCAATCGAGTCGGAATCCCGAGATAAACATTGCCGCGATGGAGATTCTCATCGTCTTCCCTATTAAATAAATAAAATATTGGGTCGATCGGAAAGTTCTGGCCATTTTCCATTTCCATAAATTGTCCATTAAAAAAAATTTCTGGAACTTTCTCGAACCTTCCACGGTAGCAGTATACGAAGGGTGTGTGGCCGTGACGACGCAGCAGTTGCTTAGTCGTTCAAAGCCTAAAACCGTGACTTCCAAAATGGACTTTAACGAGACCGCCCGACGTCAGTGCCTTCTTTGCTTCCTTCCTATCTGGCATCACAGCAGCGGAATCGAGTCGCCGCATCTGCCGCCGCGTTTGGCCGAGGTGCAGTTTGCGAAAGGAGGGCGCGACGACGGTTCCATCGTTTCCCGTCTGGAAATGACAGCCTCGAGGATGAGCCCAGGTCAGGCCGCCCGTCCGAAATCGACGACACGCGGTTGCAGCACACGGTGGAAGCCGATCCGAGGCAGAGTACCCGCGACTTAGCGACGGCACTCGGCTGCGCCCGGTCCACGATCGCGACGCACCTGGCTGCAATCGGCAAGAAGAGCGAGTCGGGTCGGTGGGTACCCAACGATCCGACCGACCGCGACCGCGAACGCCGTGCCGAGGTGTGCACTTCGCTGCTGTCGTACGAGCGCACAAACGACTGGCTGGATTCCGTTGTCACCGGAGACGAAAAGTGGATGCCGTACGTCGCCGTACTACCGACGCAGGCGCCAGTGGGTCGATGCCGATGCCCAGCCGGAGCCGGAGCCGAAAGGTGACCTGCACCCCACGAAAAGTCACGTTGTGCATTCGGTGGGACGTGCAAGGCGTGATCGACTTCGAGTTGCTCCCACCCGATACCGGCATCGCCGCCGCCCACTACTGCGATCGGCC